TTTATGCTCCTCGTCAAGTATAGGTGCTTTGTTTTGGAGGTTTCTTGATCTATTAACACATTTGATAGGACTCCTTGAATGAGTGATCAGCCCATTGCAAAGCCTATACCTGTACACAGGAAGACATGGACAAACATCCATACCTTGAGTGGGATTCAAACCCACAGCCACAGTGTCCAAGCACAGAAGACCCATGCCTCAGACCGTGCAACCACTGTTACCAGCAACAGGGACACTTGCATGTTACAGATTACTTTATGTGTACATAAATCATTGTTGTCAATTTTATTAAAGCTATGAAAAAAAAGGATGTGGTATTCAAGCAAGCCATGGTCATATCTCTCTCTCTCAATGAAAATTTAGTAAGTTATATGCGTTGTTCTTTTTCAGTAGCGAATAATCCTAGGGAAGTTCCAGCAACTGGATTTCACATGTACTCAAATTTGGAAATATCTTTGAAAGAGTGGAAACTACATTATACATATGATGGTAGTTCTTTGTTAGATTCAGTTTAACTGCTCTGGAAAAAAGAACACATTAAAACAGCAATTACATCAAACAACAATTATTAAAGTATAAACACCCAATACCAACTCTTTTACTATTTTACTCTATCTTCTGTCCACCCTTGATTATTAAATACAGTACTACTATACTTTTGGAATACCTCTGATGCAGGCACTGGATGTAATACCATTATTGAAAGCAACCATGCCATTGGAGCGAGCCCAGATGAAAATACGTGCAGTGCTGTCAGGAAGAGACGCTCGCAAACTTCGGGATAAGGTTGCAAAACTAGCCACCAGCCTTGAAAGTGAAGACTGGGATGGTGGAAAGCTAAATCTGGTATGTATGCCGAAAACAGTACGGGCTGAAGATTTCTGTCTTCTGGGTTATTGCGCTGTGTAGTCTGGTCGATGTTAACCAACGTTTCAGAGGTCATACTACCTCCATCATCAGGGCGATGAATATTCTGAAACGTTGGTAAACATCGACCAGACTACACAGCGCAATAACACAGAAGACAGAAATCTTCATACTCACCGCTGTGAGAACCTCAAGTCTTACACAGTACGGGCTGTCTAGCGTCCAAAACAGAATCATCCTTCCTGGGTCACAGTGTTCTGTACGTAAGAATGGCAGACAATCTTTTCATAATACAATCACTGCCAGGCATCTGAGCCCCAGCAGCGAGTAATATTCTTGATATAATCAGGAAATGCAAAGAAATAATTGCTACATAATCACTCCACAACTTGAGACCATCTCTGTATGTGAAGTTAAAATAAATTTGAGGTTTTTATGATCAAACCTATTATGAAGTAGATCATTTACTTATTTTTGTTATAAATGACAAGAAAAAAATACTTAAGTGGCAATGATAAAGTTCAGCTTTTATTACACAAAATTTAATGCTCGTGCTCGTCTCTTCCCAGCCAAAAAATGCCAACTGAATGCAGAGTACGATAACTGTCATTTGAAGATTTCTGTCCTCTGGGTTGTTGCGCTGTGTAGTCTGGTCGATGTTAACCAACGTTTCAGAGGTCACTGCCTCCGTCATCAGGGCGATGAATATTCTGAAACGTTGGTAAACATCGACCAGACTACACAGCGCAATAACCCAGAAGACGGAAATCTTCATACTCACCGCTGTAAAAACCTCAAATCCTACATAACTGTAATTTGTTTGCATAATAATAAAGAACAATAAAAAATGTCGTTGCAGGTTTGTTTGATAGACCCTGGCCATTACCGAGAAGTAGATGAAATTGTGCGTTCTGAAACCAAAGGACATGGACTCTTGGAACTGATGAGCCTTAAAGAAGTAACTGAAGGTGAAGAGTTACTGGAATGACAAATAGTAGAATATGTTACTTTCAACAGTAATTAATTGTAATATAAGTTCTTGGCAACATGGATATTATTTTGCACAGTGAATAAATACTGTACATGTACTGACAATATCTGTCTGTCTGTTTACATAATTTTTAACAAATACAACAAATGGTCTATGACTATAAAACTTGGTCACTTAAAAAATAATATATACACAAAAAGATAATGGAAGTTGTTACTACATCAGTCACTAGATTTGCTACATGTCACAAGAAATAGCAATTCTTATCTTTTTGAGAGGAGCTCTACATCAGGTCTTGGTATATAGATAGATTCATTTTTCTTATCAATCTTGCATGCATATCTTGATATCGTCAACAAGAAATCTGACAGCCTGCAATGGTAAGACATGTAATACATGAAATTATAAACATCCTAACTTAATTTCAAACGCACACAAACATATATACATGGCATAGGAGTTGGCAGCCCTTTCATTAGCAGAGACCACAATGGCAGTTCATATCTTTGTCGAGGGCCACATAAATAAATTAATAATGTTGTGGGCGGTAAGCAAAACTGTATTTCTTTAACTTAAAAACTATAGCTCGTGTTCACTTTAAAACACGTAACAACTTTATTTTTCCATACGACTTTGTTTACTGTTGCAAAGACGTGTTTCTTAGCTTTCAGGCATTTCTGATTTCAAGCCACTGTTAATTTTCTAAAACTTCATCATTAACGCCACAGTAATTTTCATATAATTTTGTTCAGTTTCGCATGGTCGAACAATGCACCTTTTTTGTAATAAAAGGCCTACATCTACAACATCTTTGTTTCATTGAAATATCTGTTTGCGATCGTTCGCCCTTACACTCAGACAATGTACATACATGTAAATATGTACTAGGCCTATTTATTAAAATTGTGCACTTCTTACATTATTTAACTTTTTGCTTCTAAGCTTCCATTTGGAACTCATACCAAGAGTAACTGGAAACTATTTGTTAATGAGAAAAAAGTAATCGTTAGTATTACCATTCATACTATCACTTCTTTTATGTGCTGCGCTGGCAAGGCCAGAAGTGTGAGGGATGCTGGTGTTTATTTTATTTTTCTGTGACTTGCTGTTCATCATCATTCTGATTTAAAGGTTCCATGTTTGAAACTGACCATAGACAAACCTTTAAATCAGAATGACGATATAAAAATAAAAGAAATGCCCCCTTCCCTCGTACTTCTAGCCTTGCCAATGTGCCACAAATCATACGGTAATAATAATGATAATAAGCGTCCCACTAACGCCATGTAGGCGCAATGGGGGAGTGGAGGTATAGCTCCTAATCTTTTTTGACCTCGGCAGTAGATGGGGGTGAGTGGTCAGCAGCACGCCCCGGCCGGCTTTACCCCCGGTACCCATTGGACAGGAGGCTGGGTGGGCCCCAGAGCCGGTCTGGACGCAGAGGCTAGAGGAAAAATCCTCTGCACCCGTCGGGGATTGAACCCCGGTTGTCCAGCCTGTAGCTAGTCATTATACTGACTGAGCTATGATTAATTCTTGCTCGTTAACAAATAGTTACTGGACTGTGTTTTTTTTACAGATGAGTAACAAAAAGACATTCTTTTTCAAACATCACAATCTACATATTTCGGTATGAGTTCCACGTGGCTTTGAAACATAAATAGTTAAAGAACAAGTTCACAATTGTGATGAGTAGGCCTGTTTGTGAAAATATAACACATGCATTAAGAAATATATAGGGACGATGGCACTAGAACCTGCAAACGTGATCTTCACAACAACGGCAGTCCCCTGCAATGCCCACTGGTCTATGAGCGACTAACTGAAGTATAGGTTTTAACTCTGTTTTGCTTTTGGAGGACTTGGAGAAGTCATTAACATTAATTCATGTTTTTCTTCAAATTATGTAGACATACTAGTATCATTCTTTAATACACATCTGGCATAAATCATTGTAGTCAGCGGAAAGCACGCCGACAAACACAATGAGATTACAAATGACAGGAATTATGATGCCAGCAGTATGCTTTCATCATGTACAGTTTCAGACACAGAAAATTTCAAGCACTTGATTTTTGTCGTACCTATATCGATGTTCTCCTCAGTAGCAGAATTTTTTTACCCTTCTTGCATTGGCAAATTCCAAAATCATGTGACAGGCCACATAAAAAGTTTCGAGAGCCAAATGTGATCTGCCCATTACCACCACAAACCATATCTGGTTTGAATCACAACCAAAACCTAGAAATTTGGACTGAGGGCTTCCTTGGTTTTCTTCAGCCCTTTTACCTCAAACATATCATTTTGACTTTTTTCCACTTTTCTAAATCATTGTTCATAATCATCTTACCGTATCTCATTTAGTGGTACTCCCCACTGTTAATACAGGATCACAAAATAACCAAATAAATAAGTCAAAAACCCACCTGTTGAGGTATACCTGCGCTTCTTGATCAACTTCCCCATTCCTTACAAGCGGCACTACACATCTTTCAGCTCGTCGACATATTGTTCGAGCCACGTGCAGTGATGTACAGGCTTTACCTCCTCCCTGAAACGTACAGTGCACCATGATGCTAAACTGAATCTAACATGAAGAACGACATACGACGGAAGTATACACCATCATGCATAGACAGGAACCTAACATAACCTAACCTAACCTAACCCTGTACTAACCTAACCTAACATTACTTTTCTTATTAATACCAGATGTCAATACTTCATTATCTTATTCTTGAAGTCATTCCCAATCCGACATGTCACGAACATGGGTCCAATTCTCATTGGTTACAGTTATATGGATATTTTAAATTCATGATTATTTGAACCTTACATAGATTATCAGGGTCATTCCTACATCTTGCAGCATCAAAAATTCTTCTGTTTACCTTGGATTCATATGTAATATTCTCCATCTAGGAAATCTAGGGGAAAAAAGGTCTTATGACCAAAGTTGTCCTGCAGGCTGAATTACAAAGTTCAAAGCAGATGCAAAAGCTGAAGTCTGTGCAACAACATTACTTAATCACCAATTACTTCAATAAACTTACAGGAATTACATAATTTTCAAGGGGTGGTAGTTGACGAGAATATTCTTCAATCCAGTCTTCCAGTTCCTTTGTGTGTCTAGTAGAAAGGTGAATCTGCAGTTCAGGTTTAGAGGATCTTAAAATTGATGCACTTATATCCACAAGGATACACTGAATTCTTTTTAGTTTGTCAGTATATGCATGTTCTCCATCTTTGGCAAATTCTCGTGCAAGCCTGTAAAAAGGAAGCATTAGAATATATAACCAACTATATAAATATTTATTTATATGCAAAGTGTTTCAATAATGAAAGCTGTAAGATTCAAAATATAATGTAAAATGAAGACGTCATTCAATATGAAATATCAGATTTTAAACCATAGCACAATATAATTTAACTCTTAAAATAAAATTTGGGTTGGACTTTTGACACCTGCCACGCCAAAGGATACTGAACCTGCTAAAAATCAGCAAATATATGGGTTTCCACTTCTTAAGTCAACTTTAGTTCTGTAAGTGCTACAGGCATGCAACAAGAACCAAGGAAGCAGTAGAAACCTGATCACAACAGAGAAACATCAACAATTAATTAATTATTGTGTTAAAGTTGAAGTTCACTGACACTAACTTTGACACAAGTTGGATACATTTTTATGATATAAAGGTGACAAACCGCAAAATATTTCTTTTGTAGGATTGTGACATGTTGCTTACAATGTCTGTGCGTAGTTTAGGTTGTGGCATGGTCCCCATTTTACTAAAAAATATTTTGTAAGAGATTATTTGCCAAAATACAGTTCTCAATATGCTTTCATTTGCCATGCTAGTAGGATTAATTGCAATGTATCTCTTCCACTCTTAAATGTAAATGAAGAAAAAAGATATAAATAAATGCAAAAACTTGAAAAATAAAAGACATTCTATGACCTTCACAGCCATTACAGACCTGGTGATTAGAAAAAAGCCTAAAGCATACCTCAAAACTGAACTCTCACTACCCACACTGGAGGCACACATAACTGAACGACAACAGTGAACTGAAGGAAGGCTTCTTTCACTACATTTACAAAATATTAGTGAAGAACGTGGAAAATAAAATTATGTATTACAAAGAAACAGTGAAGCGCTAACACCGAATATTTTGGCCAAGAAGTCACAAGAGGATCCACTACCATACTGCAAAACCAGAGCCAAACTGGATGATAACAATCAACTGGGATCCCATTACAAGTCCACAAGAGAACCCATTAGTCCCTACACCGAGCCAGATGAATCCAATTCATGCTCTCTAAACCAGTTTGGCAAAGAAACGTTTTAATATTATCCTCCCACCTATACCTAGGTGTTCCAAGTGGTCTCTTCCCTCCATACTTTCCAACCAAACTTTGTTTCAAATCCTGACGTATTTACCCAATATATGACGACAGTTCATCCGTTGCACCAATTGCATTGAATATTCTGTCATCTTTAGGTCTCTTTTCTCCAGAACTTGTAACCGAATATCCACTGTCACCTTCACGTGTGAACACTGTAGAAGCAGCTGTGCTATTCCTGAAAATACATTACATTCTTTACAAAAACGTTCTGTAAATATTCTGCATACAATTTCAAAATGCGTTTTAACACCGTCGACGAATGACTGCAATATATCTCTACATTCAGAATACTTCGCATTTTCAGATAAATATTTCCGTCAACTCACCATTGGCGGAAATAATTTGATAATGAAGGGCAGAAGACTGCTGTCGTTCTGTATATGATTCTACTAACAACTTCCATTTTGTAATAATCGATTATTTACAACTTTGTTCGTCTGTTCTTCTTTCTCGATTGTAATCGAGAACTATTAATGTAAAATTTACCTTCGACGCGTCGCAAACAATACTTGAATATAGAAAATTATGTATATGTGACCTAATGAATACTAAATTACACGAACCTACATAAAATCAAAAAAATCTAAGTACTGTATACATATATGATTAATTGCAACAGAAGTACTTCCATTTCCTCCAATTTGTAAAACCCATGAAACAACTGTATGGAGGGACAGTCGTTTTTGAAAACCAAATCGTCCCTCGAATAGTCCAGAAATTTGCTACCCCATATGTAAACCGAAGGTTCATAGCCACCATAACATAAACCCACCACTGGATTTTGTCTCTTCAAATCCCATACATAATAACGTTCTCCAGTCACATCCCGAATTGATCAATCTCATACAACATACGGCTCTCCAAGTTACAACTCTCGAAGGAAAAATGTTAATCTAAAAAGCCTTCTTGGAACACATATTATGAGTTTTTCGTCCTGCCTGGATCTATCCCAGGCTATTTAGTTAATCTAAGAGCTTTTCTACCGGAATTTGAATATCTGGCAATATATACCATCTCAATGTTTCAGTAACAATTTGACCTGATAAGAACACGGCATAGTGGCTTAATTTTATATAATTTAATATAATATAAAACAATAATATTTGTAATACGGGATGGTGATATGTTCCAGAATTATTTCGTATAATTACAAAAATACAGATAACCTCTATGACACAGCCTTGAAACGCAGAAAATGATTTCTCGTCCTCGAATGTGGTTTCTGCCATCATTACATTTTCCTTGGACGTCAGAAACCAATTTGTCGAAGGCCAATAAGGATGTAACTTTCTGTATAACGTGTAAATAACGTAGGTGTTTATTACACACACGAGAACAAGTAGAGAGAATTATGGTGGCAAGTTTAAGTTGCTTACAAAGGCCTGGTGTTAGTATTTGGTTTGAAACTATTATAATGTTAGTGAAAAACTGGAGTTCAACATAACCTTAATCCTCACTGGACCTTGGATTTGTTAGCAAGGCGAATTAAAGCGATACAAAGGGGTGGTATTTCGTACAATGTAAAGCATTGTTTGTTAAATGGTAGGGCAGTATTTGAAATATACGTGCAAGCAAATTACACACCTTCTGGACTATATTAATAATTAATACTGAGGACTACATGGAATGGTGTAGACTTGTTTGTAGGTCTGGTGGCAGCAATTCTATTAAACTGTTAACATTTCTGCGAAATCAGTTAAGATTTTAAAACTATGATGAAAAGTTGTCAAGGGTATCTCCAAAATATGTTCATATTACCATAAATGCAGTATTTGCAAAGTGAGGAGAAGAACTAGACCAAATCCAAACTGATGTCAGTTGCAGCATAGGTTATTGTCAACTTAGGTTAGATTAGTTTATATGTTTACATATGCTCAGTGGATGCCATTTAATCAGGGTGTGGAGCAAATCAGTGTGTGTGTATGGTTGGGGGAAGAGAAAGTATAAAAAAATTTGATAAATATGGATCCAGTTAAAGGGATGATGTACTTACACTTAAATATCCACCTTTTTTCCAGTTGTCCCATGACTACAATTGCTCCAGTATGGCTTCTTATTCTTGTCATATGGTATTTTTATATAGCAATCCCTGAAACATACTTACAAAGCAACATGGTGGTATAAATCTTAAGACTGATAAATCTCTGACATAACCATAGCTCAGGCAACTAGACACTCGCTTCTCACTAAGTAGACCCAAGCGTAGACCCATGTGATTTCAAGTGAGATTTATGGTGGACAAAGAGGCCCAGGAACAGGTTTTCCTCTGAGTTCTTTAGCTTGCTTCTGCTAATCATCATCTCACCAATGCTCCATGCTCACTTATTACCATCCCATGAGATGTGCAACAGCCCTGACCTTGTTCCTAAGTTAGGGGCTTTATCTCTGACCTGGTACTTGGCTGGTCACAGAGTAAAGAAAGTATTCTTCTTAATCTCAGCTTAGTTAACTTATTAATATACCACTCACTGTGACTTAAAATACACTCAAAACATAATACAGCAATTGCTACCATGTTAGAAATATGATCTATTTAGATGTGACAAATGTACATGATAAGCCTGGGCAAGTCCTGATGAACAGACTAAGCATCTCTGAAATATCAGTCCGTTTATTCCAGATTACATGGCATATTATCCTTGAAAAGAAAAGTTATCTTCATGCTCACTCAAATTTCAGGTTCTCATGGTAACTAGTATGAAAAAGACACCCTTTTGAAATACTGTGTCATGTAGTCTCATAATCATCGATCTCATGATGGAGGCAGTACACACCTCTGAAATATCAGTCATCTTAATGGCGCAGTATCCCAGAAGGCTGTCATCTTCTTACTTGTCACTGTGAGAATCTGAAATCTCATCTTATTATCGCCAGTTTCCTGGTATATGTCTATATAAACCAAGAACTTCTGTTTTCCTTTATTTCAGTATCGAGCAGTGTGGCAAAGAAGAGTGTTTATTCAGTCCTTTAAAACATCCGCTGAATTAAAAGATCGTCGAGTGGTAGTGACTGGTTTGGGAGTTATATCACCAGTTGGTTGCACTGTGCACAAAGCATGGAGTACAATATTAGGAGGAGGTTGTGGCATTGTACAACTTGAAGATGAACGCTACAATAATTTACCGTGTCAGGTGGCTGGACTTATCCAAGAAGGAAAAGATGCTCAAAAATTTGATCTTACCAGTCACTTTTCAAAAAGTGAACTTCGATCAATGGCTCCAGCTACAGCTTATGCTATCATTGCAGCACAGGAAGCATTACAAGATGCCAGATGGTTTCCTGAAGAAGAGAAGTTGAAGCAGATGACTGGAGTAGCTGTTGGGATGGGTATGATAGATCTAGTAGATGTATGTGAAACTGCTGAAGCATTAAAAAAAGGATACAACCGAGTGAGTCCTTTCTTTGTACCTCGTATTTTGCCCAACATGGCTGCAGGACAGATCAGCATCAAGTATGGCTTCCGAGGTCCAAATCATACTGTATCCACTGCTTGTGCTACTGGAGCTCATGCAGTAGGTGATGCATTCAGATTTGTGCAACGCGGAGATGCAGATGTGATGATATGCGGAGGTGCAGAGGCATGCATCTGTCCTCTCTCTATAGCAGGGTTTTGTAGACTCCGAGCACTGAGTACTTCCTACAACAAAACACCCGAGAAAGCATCAAGACCGTTCGATAAAGGCCGTGATGGGTTTGTAATGGGGGAAGGATCAGCCATGTTAGTACTAGAAGAACTTCACCATGCCTTGTCAAGAGGTGCCAATATTTATGCTGAAATACTGGGGTATGGATTATCTGGAGATGCATACCATTTGACAGCTCCAAAGGAAGATGGGACTGGAGCTATTCTTGCTATGAGTAGAGCTTTAAAAGATGCCAAACTCCACCCTCATGACATTGGCTATATCAATGCACACGCTACTTCAACTCCAGTAGGTGATGCAATAGAATCAACAGCCATCAAGACATTGTTTGGAACACATTGCAATAAGTTAGCAGTTTCCTCTACAAAAGGTGCTCATGGACATTTATTGGGTGCAGCTGGCAATCTGGAGGCAGTGTTCACAGTCATGGCATGCCACACAGCATGGCTTCCACCTACAATTAATTTGGATAACCCTGAAGAATCAATGAATTTGAACTATGTGCCTAATAAGAAACAGGAATGGTTCGGGGGAATTAAGAGGTTTGCACTTAAAAACGCATTTGGATTTGGTGGAACAAATGCATCTATTTGTATAGCAGAATACAGGGAAAAATAATTTTAATTATATATATTATTTACGTATAGTATTATTTTCATTTGTACCTTCACCATTTTCAGGCTAGGATCATAACATCACCATGTAACACAAATGTTACAACTCTGTTTTTTTCACATTATACAGTAATGTAACTATATAACCAACTTGAACAAATTTACGTCAAGTTTTAATTTACATGCTGTGAGAGGGGCCATTTTTATTCTGACAACTTCTGGAATCAGGCTACTACTATATTATATCTATACATCATTCATAGGTTGATGACCACTGTACATTTGATCCATAAATTCAAATTGTTTTGATCATTTCAGAGTCGTTCACCATTCTCAACTTTCCATACATGAAAGGAATCAAAACAAACTCAAAATTGTTGTTCTCCTGCATGCAAACAAAACCTGGCTAAATATATTCCACCATAAACATTTCCTGTTTTGCTAATAACCTATGCATAACGATTACCTACAGGACTCTATGTAATTAATAACAATTTGGAATGCAAGTAAGAGTTTTACTGTTCAATAACAAGAAATAATAATTAAACCATTCTCTCACCAAAATTGCAAGTCTTTGGAATTTCCAGATCAATACAAAAGTCAACACACTGTACATTACAAAATGAAACTCAAAATATACACTTTTAGAATAAAGAACATTTATAAACTGTTATTGGTCCTTGTCCTGCTCTGAATGAACTGGCTTGTATGTAGACAGAGACCTTAAATTGTACTATACTACATTTTGAAATCCTTAATTTGAAACAGATGCACTTTTATTGCAAATGGCGTAACAAAGTATAGCAGTCTTCTGTTACTAGTGCACAGTTCAGTCACTGTCATCTTGTAACTATACGGTATACTTACAATATGAAAAAATATTCCAAATCCAATCTCCATACTAAAAAACATCCACTACCCTTCACATGCAACAAAATGTGTCAGTATTATTATAAAAGAAATCAACTGCTTAGAACAGACTTTTCTGTAATACACTACAATGCAAAAAATAAATCAATATGCTGATTTATTACAACTAAACAATGTTGCACTATGATAAATCAAAGTCAGTGAAGTACTGCTACATATAAATGAATGTGCGTGGATGATAATGACCGAACACAGTAAATTCTGACACATCCAAGGACCAAAATTTCAAGAAAATTACTCTATATTGAAACACACAATGCAAATACGACAGCTCCATAAATTGTTACAATTATTCGATCAACAGTGGAACTTGTAGGAGGAATGTAACGTAGGATGACGAGATGATTAGCAGAGAATTTGGGTTGTATGGAATCCATCCCGTCATACTGGGTGTTAGAATTGGCATCACTCAAACCACAGAATGAAACACACAGAACAGAAACAGTCCCACATTATTGACAGTATATACTATAGCAATAACAATCATGCAGTCACGTTCTTGCAGTAGAGCGTAATTTCAAATTTTCCTGCTTCAACATTCATGAACATACCATATTTACCTCTCTGTAAGATATTACAACATGTTTTAGACTCTTGAAAATCAAATCAACTACTTCTTTCCATTCACACTTGAAAATGTGGAGGAGTCTTAAATGACTTCTTAAACAAAACTAGTTGGAGGCACAATGAGCAGAGTGATGAACCCGAGGCTGTGGAGGATTTATACACAATTCATCAAATCTCTTTCTCAGAGTCTGCCGTAATTCTTGGCGCTTCTCCATAACGTGAAGCATCCTAGCCTTGAATTCTTGAACTTCTTCAACCGGTATGTAGCATTCTTCATCCGATGAACATGATTCCTATAATCATTATCATTAGTATGATGATTCAAATAAATTTGAGACTTTCATGGTGATGAAAATGTGGACTGTGGTCTTCTGGGTAATGACACAGTATAAGTAGTTACCAATATTTCAGAGTACTCTATGGAGGCACAGCCCAGACTTCTACCCAGAAGATCACAGTTCACATTCTTGAAATAAAGTAATCTTCTTATTCAAATATGTATATTATTTGTTGCAATAACGAACAATGTAAGACATGCTAGAATGGAACTATTGAAACCTTCACGAACATAAAAGGAATAAACAAAACAGAAAAATTAATGTGCTTGAAATAAACAGAACACGGGCGTCAGGATACTGGAATGAAGGCATAAATGAATTCAAGACGGGTTACTAATCAAGGACTTAACGTTTGTCAGAGTTGCATGATAATCGATAATACTAATTCCAGGTACAGTTCTACTCATTTCTGAATGTTATGTCACAGGCCGTGCAGTAGCCAGTTTGTGTTTCATTCTTGCAACATAAAGATGTACTCTTAGAGAGTGGGTGTTCCCCACTTGCACATACTGGAAAAAAGGCAATTCAAGGAGCTGCAAATGCATTTCAGAACACGTATGGGGAAAAGACAAACACCACTGAAATTATGTATTAAAAACTGGTAAAAAATATTATAAGCGTCATGGATTGGCGTCATGGGGGCCAGAAGCTGTGCAACCAGTTCACACAGGACATAAGGCTTTTGATATAACCTTCCAAATGACCAATGGTTACCCTGTCAAGAAAGCAAAACTGTGCGCTTATTGTATCGGTGGTTGAAGAATTGCTTCCAAAAGATGTCTTCTCACCTTAAGAAATATACGCATTCAGAGAACATTGGAAAATCCATGAGGAACCACTGAATTCTGTGACTTGAATTATTGGACCTACTTTCTCTGACCGCACCACAAACACAAAGGTTTACCTCACAAATGTTTGATGATGTGGACTGGATTCATTTGGCTCGGGGATAGGATCCAGGGCAGACTCGTGTGAAGAAGCGAAAAATCCTGATCGTGCCATACATCAAATCCTGCTCATTTCACTGTCCTAGCATTTCCAAGGTTTACTTTTGTAGTCTACATGTTAAACTCTGTGTGTACTTAGCTAGAGCATAAAGTCCCCCAGTATGTACATGAATCCCGTACCACTAATGAATGCATGCGGCATCTTACCTCTAGCATCTGCTGAAGAGTTAAAGTCAGTCCACCTGGTCCTCTGGTATTCAGGTTCATATCTGTAGGACCATGTCCTGACCTGTAATGTGTCTGAGGCTCACAATTTCGGTCCCCAGTACACTCTCCTGTGAAAAAAAAAGTGACTGAGTATAATGAATTCTTCTCAGGCTACCAGCCATGTACGGCTGTTTAAGGGAGAAAACACAAAACGTTTTGAGAACCATCTTCATCCTCAAGGTACTGTAGTTGTTTTCTTCATTAAACCACCTTACGCGACTGATAGCCCGAGAAGAATTCATTACACGATGAAGTTATTTTGAAATAAGGGAAATTACCTGCCTCATACTTTGTTGCAGTTCTCACTGTGACTGAAAATGATTCACATATCCATTATTCTATAGGGTGCTCCATAAATAAAAATCACAAGAATTTAAACTGGAAGAGCAGGCAGACCACAATCCATAAAACTTATTCACCAAAAACTTCAGTTAATGTATTCACAGAATTGTTAAGTGTTTGGGCTGTAGCACTAACTTTCACATCGTGTACAGGCACTTCGTGAACAGCATGAGGATTCTCTGTGGACCAGTATCTATTGTTTTGACTGTTTACATACCATGATTCATCATAATAAAACATAAGTGGTGGGTCAAGAAGACCATTAAACAGATTGATGAAACCACCCGCAGTATTGAATTTTTAATCCAGTCTGGATGCAGGAGACCGTAAGACCGCTGTTTTGTGCGGACGTAACTTTAATTTTAACTTTCAGCTATTGCAGAATTTTTAATTTAAAGAACAGAACAGGAATAAACCATCATGCAATATAATTACCTTCGTGATTACAAAATCCATCAGAACAGGCTACCTCTGATCCTTCAGGAGAGCTGGGAAGGCTAGACGAGCCAGAACCCGTGTCACAGCACCCATTATTGTTTTCTGACGAGTAACCACAGTCTTGAGAGTGTTCACTTGACGACCAATTGCCATTGCACCGTAAGCAGTTCTTTAAAGAGGCATTGGTACTGAGAAGAGCAGCTGATGTCTCAACCAAGTCTTGAGCACTCTTGCATGACTGGCAAGGTGACAATGACAACTGCTGCTCTGGAGTAGCTGAAGAAGGGAAAGGTGAAACAGAGTTCCTTACGCTTGATAATAAGCTATTATTGTTAGAAGCTGAATCCCCAGCTAAACAATTAGCACCAGTTTTGCTGCTATGTTGTCCCTGTTGTTTATCAACACTTCTCTGTGCCTTATTCGACTGGTCTTCTACAGATTCTGCAAAGGATCCTTTATCCTTTTTACGTCGTATACAGTCTTCGCAGTAACACGTTGGCGACCCCTTACTTTTGCGATCCAACACTTGCAACTGTAATAAAATTATACCATCAATAAAATGATGACAAGTCAGTAAAGTTTCGGTTATAATGCCTTCAAAACGATATCAAATCTTCGCAAGCAATCGCGTGGTGGCATCAAGATGGATGAAAGAGTATTTAACTATGTTGTATCAAACACAGCAGTTATTCAGCACCAAATGTGAGAGGATGATCAAATTCAGTGAACTTGAAAGAAAGTGGCACTGGACAATGTCAAAATATTATTGTGGCATTCATCTGAAGGGACCAAGAAAAACAACAAAAAATCTCGGGTTCACAAGCCAAGGTTTGATTCGGATGCCACCCAAAGTGTTACCACTCGAACAAACATGCTCATGGCTGACAATGGAAAAAATATTCTAACAAAGTAACTCTCCAATCACATGTTTTTATTCTACCCACACAATTTACCTGACAGTAAGTCATCACAAATTTAAAATATTTACCTTGTGCCTATCAGTGTTTTGTACAACAGGTTTTGGATCCAAACATGTGCATGAACTGAAGAGTTCTTCGCTGTTTTGGTCTGCATTTTCTTCTGATTCACACTAAAATTTAAACATTTAAAAATATTTTACATGTTCTAACAAAACAAATAATAAAGATTATGCAACTTTCGTATAATATTTATTTTTAGAAGTAAGATTAATAATGTTCGACTATCCAGAACACATCCGTAGATAATTTATAATTCACTTAATACCTGTCATTTCATATGTGAATATTTATAAATTAAAACCCAAATTACGCATAAAAAAAGACGTGTGGTACAGCAATGAGCAAATGTAACAAAACAACATAAAGACAAAACTAATTTCAACTTCTTCAAGTGAAACTAGATTATCTCAATGTTATATGCAAATTTTAAATTCAGAAGTATTTCGGAAAAAGCGCTCTAAAACCTAATTCAGTATTTCCATAGTGATAAAGAATGTATTTTGGCCCAGGTGAATCTAAAGTTCTATAATGAAGTAAAAGCAAGTTCACCCTAACAATATAATAATCTGGTGAAGACGACATACAAAACGTACCTCAAAATTATTTTCTTTTTCATCATGTCCAACTCTTTTCTCTTTCTTCTTCCTTCTCTTTTGTTTCTTCTGTTCCTTCTTTTGCTGTTTTGCTAGTTCCTCTTTTGTTATTTGTTCGTACAACAACTCCAGTTGAGATATACCCTGTTTTACCTCCACAGCCATCTTGAAGCAGAAAACAATTTTCCATTAGGTAATGTACAAAAGTCAGAAACTTCTCGATACCTAACATATCTAAAATATTCAAACATCCTATCATAGGTTGATATCCGTCTTCTGGGTTGTTGCGCTGTGTAGACTGGTCGATGTTAACCAACGTTTCGGAGGTCATACTGCCTCCGTCATCAGGGCGATGAATACCAGACTACATAGCGCAACAACCCAGAAGACAAAAATCTTCATACTCGCCGCTGTGAAAACCTCAAATCTTACATACAAAAGACATGTTACGTATACAAGTCAAGCTCTGAGGAGAGCATTTCGTCTCTGAAACTATAGGTACAAGGCCACCGAGGATCCAAAGTCGTAGTTAAACATAAGGAAACGATTCATCTGCGCCGTGTTCATGAAAGTTCGGCAGAATAGGTATGAGAGACCTGCAATGAAGCAACCTGCTGTTTATTTTCTACACATAGTTCGTAATGTCTGAGTTGGCGATGTTGAAGGGACGCCATCCAGTCGCGCCATATTGTCTGCAAACTTTCCAGCTGCAGCTGCGAGCAAATGTCTTGCGAATCCTGGTCCTTTATACCCCACCTTCCAAAACTTTGACTTGCTGTTTGTGAAACACATGACCATCCAACAACACTGACAGACATGTCTCCATTTCACAAACATCTCAACCGCTGTTATATTAATTAGATCATATATTTATCTTATTCCATACTTTCTACCAAATTCCTTTCATTCGTCAATCCTATCTTCATTCCTCTCCTCCTTTCTTCATCCCTTGTGTATCTTCTTCAACGCTCCAAAAGTGCAATACAGAACAATAAAAAAAACTACGCTACACTACACAATATATTAGCTGGGCACGTTTCATCATGTCAAGACGTTTCACATAACACAGATTTAAGTTATAAACAATATTCATAGTTCAAAACTGTCATACATCGGTGATTACTTACCTCAAAGTTCCTGCACAGGGCTTCAATAGCAACTGCTGCAAGGACTTGGCACATACATTCTTCCTCGCGAAGACGTAGGTTGATACGGTGCAGTCTCTCATAGACACACAGACCTAAGCAAGTCAGCACCTCCTCTTGAGCAATCTCTAGTGTCTTTGCGTGACGTTCTCTTCGGCTGCAAAAGCAAAAAGAATGTCACCTTAAAAGGCAAGTTTAAAATCAACACCAGAAAGACAGGTTCTTTACCACAAAAGATATTAAATTTGTGTTCAATGAGTTGTGTATTTACAAATGGTTCCTGCATAACCATTTACAGAGCAATTTCAACAACAATTTTCAATCTGTATACACCATTATCAGCCTAAAGTAACACAGACTAATTACATAAATAGAATTTCTTTATCTGTTCCTCTTAAGTAAACATTTGTAATGTCTGTAAATGATGCATACATCTAAGTACTGTACACAGCTTGGGAGCTGACAAGGCATTGAACATTCTGTGTATTATCAGCTTTCACTTGAGTTGTACAGCCAAAAACACTTATTTTGTCATACAAATGCTTACTCACAGATGTGATTTGTATATTTATTTTTATTTGTAGTGTTCTGTCTGCCGACAGGTCCATATGAACAGGATCCTTCCATCCTTTTCTCGGACTGGGACCTGTTCATATACGTTCTTGGCAGATGATCCAGAAGTGGTTTGCCATTGCCTTCTTCTGTGTGTGAATGGAGTAATTGTTGGGATGCCACGGAGGAAAACTCCGTGTTGCCTAGACCACGGCCTTGCCCAACACAAGTTATAAATTCGGGCACCGCCGGGAATCGAACCCGAGACCCCAGGATTACAAGGCCAGCGTTCTAACCGCTAGACCACCGTGGCACGATTTGTATATATACAGCATTAAAATGCCATCATCATGAAGGGAAGGGAAAACTATGCAAAGGAATGAAAGAGTAGTCATTTGATGCGTTATTCAAGAACGTAACAAAGAAGTCCAATCAAGTGCAATTAGATTCAGTGTACAAAAAAGAAACGCACATGCCTCCAACTCTACAGGAATCATGAGTGGAGAGCGTCCAGTAGGGTGGTGGATGAATACTTGATAAAGGATGGTGCGATGGAAAAAACAGTTGAAAAATTTGCCATCTGTCTTGACGAATCTGACAACTCAAGAACCTCCAGTGAAAGTGAGGTGGCTCATCCATTAGCTTATGGCGACTGTGATAGTGATTTATAAATGTGATATAATTAGTAAATAAATTGCTTTTTGAAGTGTAACTGACTCCAGAAAAATTGATATCATGTATCCAAATGGGAAGTAGATGTTTTTGGCATGTGTATTAGTAAAACTGCCTCACCATCTCTCATTCTATGAACAGTAATGTTACTGATTAATTAGTAGCATGGATAAGTGATTCAAAGCACATTTTATGTGTGATCCTTCTTGTTAAGTAACAACCTGAACACAAAAACCTGTCAAATCCACTACCAACACAGCACTTCCAGATTCTACTTTAGCATGCTCATCATTCAGCACAAGAGATCTTACCTAGACAATTATAAGAATCTTCTTTAATTATGGTTGAAGGCTTTCAAACCATCTTGGTTCGAGCGCTGCAATACAGGTTAGTATTTACAACTACCTAATTCCATATAACACGGTCTTTCTTTATAATCAAAGAGCTGGTAAACTAGTACAGAATTCTCACCTTTCATGGCACAAAAGGGTTTATTCATTACTGTGTTAACAAAAGTCTCTGCCATTTGTTCCTATCCAAAGTTATATAAATGCGGGCCACATCCTCCACATTACTTAAAGACAAATTTTAATCACTAATTTCTTTATTTTGGACTTTGAAGTTTATTTCATATACCACTCATATCACAATAATTTTAATTAAATTTGTTCTGTGAGAGCATATTTATCATACGAGCAACTAACATGTGACTCAAAATAAACACATCTAGAATTCTTACTCCAAACATGTTTGAGTGAACGTCGGAATAAACATGAGTCTTGTTAACAACTGTGAATAAATCTGTGGTGATAAACTGTGAAATAAAATTACTCTGGAGCAGTAGATTATACCGAACCGAATTCAGGATCACCACTAACCAAGGATTGCTGCATTTCAAGTCGGACACGAACCAACCAAAGGAAGGAAACAACTGCACTAAGCGACCACCTCTGCTACTCTGCCATCAAGTCAGGGGGAAAATCAGGTATGTGTCCCCTAGAACTACTTAAACTGAGAATCTATAAAGTTCTGATAAGACGAGTAGTCACATACGTATGGGAAAGAATAATACCTGCAGTTTTATATCGTACATAATCTAGGACCATTCTTTTTACCGTAACATCTAGAAGCCATAATGACAAGTCATGCAGTAAATGCATGAGTTGCGATCACAGGCAACCGTCACACCACGACAAAATCCCAGAGACGGCACTCACCAGTATCGGTGGGATCACGAACTAATAATCGAGACATCAACAAATCTACGGTTCTGATAAAAATTCTGGACGGGTCTAGCAGATGCTATAAATAAGAATAAAATCAGACTCCCACTTTAACCAAGAACTCTCTGTATAACACGCTTACGTCGCCTCTTAATACTAAGTGCTTATGACATTGAATGTGAATCCATTATATCAGCCTCACCTGCCCATAAGCTCTGGTTCGGCCCGAGTAATCAGATTAGCGATGTAAGCTGTTCTAGTCTGTAGATGGATGTGTTTCTCGGGGATGCATCGTTTGATTCCCAAATACAAGGCAGGTACATAACCTTTCTCACGGCAAGGATCCGGTTCCTCCACAAGTAGTGCGTAAGCGCGAAGTACCTTAGTTCGACACTCACCACAAAACCTACAAAGTAAAAAGTTTAACTGGAAGTTATTCACGCACAATATTCAAATAATAAGGTTATGTAACAAAAAGGCTTTTGCTACAGCAGACTTAAGAGGGGCTTGCATAAATAAGCCCCTTGTTCATTTTTGACCAAATATCTGGCCATTTCTACTGCAGTTACCCATGAAAATTTAACAGTTACTTCAGACTGTCTAAAACATAATGCAGTTACAGTTCATCCTTTCCAATAACACTCAGTCACTTTTCTTCAGGACAATGTTGATCAGCACTTTCTCTCTGACGGTTTGTAAATCAATAGAAAAACCAGAAAGATCACCTCAACCTCACATTACACCAAGAGCAGTGTTGATTGAATTACCTTGCCACCTCTCATGGTAGATAATGCGATGTGGGCACCACAAAATAGGCTCATGTCCTATATGATCACCACACTGCAAAATTGTTTCAAAATAACAAAGAAGGATACCTATGCTTTCGAAGATAATTCTCTATAGTAGTAAGAAGTGTGGAAGACTCTATGAGCACCACCTCCTCCTTGCACTGAGGACGCATGCATTCCCATACATCCACCCAAGCACTGGTGATGGGACGTGAACGTTGTGAATCCAAGGAGTGAAGATTACAGCGACGGCTTTTCTTTGAACGAGGCTGACTTTCCAGCAGACTGATTAATCTTGAACTGCAAAATTAATTATAATAATTGAAAATCATATAAATCATCATAAAATGTTACTGCGTGAATGGTATCATTAACATTAACATATATAAATTGACCTATAACTAAATATTTACATACCTATGCCCATGAAGAAGAGTACTTAGTACTTGTGGAGATTCCAACTGCTCCTTCCGGATTGACAGAATTCCCTCGGGTGAAACGAAAAGGGGATCAAGAGCTGGATGCCCAGACTTCATCAGCTGGTAGAACAATCTTTCAACACTATTTTTAAAAAGTATCAATTTTAGACATATGTGCAAAATACATAAATTATGTACTGTAATAAAAAGAGTACATAAAAATAGGCTGTCACTAACCTTCTTCGACAGCCAACACATGGTACTGACTGACTCAGAATTCCCAACAAATCTTTGCAAGTTACTTCAAATGCACTCTTCATTTCTGATGAAGTTAGCACACTGAATTTCCGAAGAAAGTCGTCCAGTTCTTTTCCCCTAACCATAGGGTTATCACATACTAAACCCATTCCATTTAAGTCCATCACCATCTGTGAAAATAAAATTACTGTTACGTCTTCCTTGAATTTAAGGCTTTTTCAATGGAGTATTTCTTCCCTAAAAAGGCGGGAAATATCCACATCAGTTCTTTACAAAATCTGTCATCAATTAGGTCAGATTAATTTTTCGAAAGTTTGCCCGACAATAACTGTACGGACAGTATTACTGAAACACATTTAATATACGATCTTGACGTTATCGTCGGAACTACTAAACATTATACTTCAACAACAAACATACAGAAATTACTAAATCGTTATACTTACCGCAAGACTTTCATCAATAATGAGTGGAAGCTGTCTCCTACTTATAGAGGGTTGTTTTTCGATACGATACACATCTACTAATTTTGCCATTTTATATTTTTACAATAATTTAAACAACAAATACTCAACTAAATATCTGAATAAATGTAAACTTTTTTCGGCAGCCAACCTGTAATTAATTTTGTGCCACAAAAACACCACGACGTGTTACTCTTCTGCCATTTGCAAATATCGAAGAGTACATCTAAGAAACCGCGGATGGTACCAACAACCCTGACAAGAACTTCCATAATAGCACGGAATAACAGATGGAAACGGCGGCTGATTCGATTTTCAAGGTGGCGATAGTAATTTGCTAGTAACTACATTCATTTAAACATAGGCTATGATAATAAAGCAATTTGAAAGGAAGGGACAACTAAATTTCTTGGCAACAACTTTTTTTTGGAAAAAACAAATTGAATATATTATCTCCAAACTCAGTTAAGCTTGCCTGGTCATGAAGTTACATAACTCATGAAACCATTTAAATTGAGTTTACATTTTTATTTCCATTTCATTATGTTATATGGAGTTATATTTTGGGATATTTCAGAAGGCAGCAAACATTTGTTTACCATCCAAAAGAAAATAATTAGAATAATAGGTGTTAAAAAATCTTAGCATACTTCTTGCCAATCAACTACTCTCTTTATTAACACTATAGAAATGTTTAAGAGAAATTAGGACATACAAAGTTTAACTACAATAAACTACAGTAATATGACCTCCACATGCTGAATAATAACATCACTAGTTACCAGAAAGGTGTACACTACACAGGAATAAAGTTATTCAATGCTCTTCTCTTTAACATTAAGACTTTAATTCATGATATAGAAGTGTGGCATGCAGCTGCAGGTTGAAAGAAATGGACATGACATAAGGCACTTTTTATTGTTACTTAATGATATCTTTACTATAAAGAGTAAACAACTCAAGAAATACACATAATTAAAGATGATGAAGCTTCCACTTTGAGCACAGGACAGAATTAATTAAAGAAACTGTAGTTATTATATGTCCATTGTATATAAAAACTATTAAAATGTTCATTTCAAGTACTAATGTTAAAGTAACGTATTATTTAATTTAAATCATTCCTTTTTAATATTACACCTTTCTAAGTTTCTGCAAGGGTATACCCCACAGGTCTATTATATTTGGAGAAGGGGGGTTCACACACACACATATATACCCTTAGCATTAGGCTACGCTATCTATGTCTGACATGTCTTATTTAAAATAAGTTCCAGGGTGGTACCCTGTTACGTGCTTCCCTGGTTTCACTTGTCCTGCTGTGCATGAATACTGTATTACGAATGTTATATAAGGAAATAAGTCTACATTCAAACAATAAAATACAATTTAGGTGGTGCATTAAGGAATTTTATGAATCCTACTCACACTGGTACTTTGATTTATTGCTTGCAATTGTAAATATATTACACATAGAGTATTGATAATATTATTATTATTATTATCATCATCTTTTGGGAATAAGTTATCACATAAGTACAAAGGTTCACACTATCACAATGTTTGGAATGGGTGACAAATAATCTCTCTTAAATAATGTGCACACTTTTACATCTTCATATCAAATTTCATTATAACATAAACAATCATTCTAGTCCCCATGACAAAATTTTCAAAACACTTTAGTTTAGAAGGAGGGATGGCAGCAGAACAGTGCAGCTCTAAAGCAGCAGTAGCTTTGTTATACATCGAGTGTCATCAAGTTCCCTTGAACAGCAAACGGGAGTGGGAATTAGAATGACTGGGCATATTACAGTTATTACTGCCAACTAAATACTAAATAAAAATGTCAGCATGGCCACAACATTGTTGTTTTGCATACTACAAAAATATTACCTTAACAAAAAATTGTAATTTTTTTCAAATAACTTACCCATTATTATGCACGATTTCAGGTCCCTATATCAAAACCAATTTCACTCTAGCCTCATAAGTTCATATTTTTCCATGCTGTAATTGCTGATCCTAGAAAAGTATAAGGTATGAGGTCAGGATGGCTACCGACTCGAGTTACATTCATTTCGCCGGTATGGGATGCAGCATGTCTCTCTAAAGGTATGGCACAGTTTTCAAACTTGACTAAGCGATGATACAAATAGGAAACACAGTCTGAAGAGAAACTGCAAAAGTTCACGTCATATTAAGAAACTAGTGCCTCAAACTCTTCACTTCATGGTTTGTTACTGATTTTCGTCCAATGAAGCGTCTGCCTAAGTCAGCATGGCGCCTAAGAGGAATGTGCATATATATCTTCATATAGTATCTGTAGGATCCTCTATAAAGACGAGTCTAAAATACGCATTGTCGAGGAACTCTGAAACACTGACCACCTTGATTTTTTAACTTTGCCCTACTACTGTTACCAATGGGTCTACGTTAAGTAAGTGATGTAAAAAGTGAAATCAACACTCACAATCTGAAGTAAAGAAACAGAAATGCAGTTGATGCTGTAAATCCAGATGTTCTCATACAGGTACAGCAAAAACTGGAATACTGAACAAAGGAACAAATGGAGCTCAAATTGAGCTTTAGAAACAGAAAAACTTTCAGTTTCTCTTTCATTCCATGTTCCACTTATGTCTCTAGCACTAATTGTTACAGAACAGCAATGTCTGAAAACTACAGCATAACTTTACAGACATACTACATAAATCACAATCACATGTCCAAAGATTATCTAACAGCTTCATTCTTGTTCTGCACAAACGTGTACGCTATATGAATACCTTATACAAAGAATTATAACTTATTGCTTTTGACCTTATATTATCCTGATGACTGGATATCAGCAAATGTACTTCTTCAATGTAATAGCCATTGCCCTCAACCAATTCAGACATTGCATTGGTCTATAAAAAGCGCTAAAACTTGTGACAGTGGAAAATACGTATTTTTAAATATGAGTGACTCTTAGCAAACCCAGCAAGTCCTCACCCCAGTTTTTACCTTAATGATGCTTAATGCAGCAGTCATGACTTATTTCAGCATTTCCTTTGCAATCACATCTCATATGACGAAAGCCATTTCTAGCCTTGATTTAAAATAAATGAGAAGCACTAGTCCCAAACTACGCCTCTCTTATTAGAAATGAAAAGGTGAACATTAATTTCGAACTCACTGTTGGAACATACTGTTATTACAGCCACATTAACACAGCAAAAGGCATTGTGTACCACTGTTAAGTGAGAAGATGGCCGTCTTCTGGGTTGTTGAACCGTGCGGTTACCGACGTTTCAGAGGTCCTTGCTGCCTCCATTATCAGGGCCTTGATGACGGAGGCAGCAAGGACCTCTGTAATGTCAGTAAACTTCTTCCAGACTACATGGCAACATCCCAGAACAGAGTCATCTTCAATCTGTAACCTTCCTTCTGAGGCAATGGCATTACAACAAGGACTTGTACAGAAATATCCACACAGGATGCAATTTGAATTAATACACAATCCTCACAGCCTAGCCACTAGAAATGCCAGAACATACAACATTAAGTGTTATTGTCTTAAAGCACACACAAAATATTTCAGAGTGGTCTCATGAGCAGATAAACAATAATTTATACTAGCTGTCTATTCCTCCTGTAATATTATAAGTTAGAACATTAAAACACCTAGTTATATTATAACCTAATAAGTTAAACATGAATTATGCGTAAATATTAATTATAACACACTTTAAATATCTGCATGAAGCATGGTAGGAAGATTACGTGTTGTTCAACGCTGTGTTCATTTCTGTACACGTGGGTAAACACACAATTTTATATGATCACCGTAAAATATTAAATACGTTCAAAAAAGCAAGTCAGATTGCAAATTTACGAAATCATATTTAGTAGCAGAGTACAATAACAAACATGATATGTTTATAACAAAGGATACAAAGGAGAAGCTCACTAATCAATTTATGCAGCTGGTTTCATCAGCATTTAAATAGATAAATGATGCAGAGAGAAGCAGGTGTCGACGTTCTGTACTGCATCGCACAAGCTCACCGTGATGTCCAGCAAACAACCAGCCAATGCTCCCATCATAATCTCCCTATCATGCGTATTCCCTTAAAGTACTGATTTCCTTTTTCCATTCAGATGTATGAACTATTAGGCCACGTATCAGTTTTTGTATTTTATGATCTTACACACACACATTAATAGTCAGACATGCTATAAAATTAATCAATCCATAATAATAAACTGAAACAAAAAAAATACAGCAACTTAACATACTCAGATAAACGGTTGTTTAAAATGTGTTCAACTGCAAAATGCAAATATATTACCAGCACGTCGAAACAAAATTCAGTACTAGATTACATAGATGCGACTCCAATATGGAGAATGGAATATGATGCCATCCTGTAGATTACGCTTAGAACATTTGAAATGTAAATAAGAATTTATTATTGCAAAGACTTGTACCAAGGGCATACAGAAAGTGTGTGAAGGTCTCTACATGCAACTTGGAGCCAGTTTCTGTTCTTTCTACTTCCCCCAATTTGAAAAGATTTTGTTAAGTTCAGAAAACTGGATAAAGATAAGGAGAAATGAACATAAAATTTCATTTCAAAGACCCTGATTTCACACCTGAAGGTTTATTATAAATCAGTGATGCGCACATATATTGAAGTAGATTAAAAATGAAAAGAAACGTTTACAAACGCAAGCCGTGGATTTACAGCAATAAAGCAATAAATACACCTTTAAAAAAATCAATATTCTCTTTCTTGCAGTTTTCACTCAAACATAACAAAACTCAATTTTCAGTAAACCGCAAGCATGCACACTTACACAAGATTCTAATAAACATCAGAATATAATACAAACTTTACACTTTCTTATTTAAGAAATAATGGTCTCCAAAATTAAATTACTCCAAGGTTTACATAACTATTAGCTGATTACTGTCTCTGATAAGCTTAAAAGTAGCAAATATTGCGCCTGGCCAAATGAATTTGAATCCTGCTAACCTAACCCAAGTCTATGCAGAACATGTGCAAGAGGCAGTTGATCATATCATTTCAAATTTGAGTACATAACAACTATATCCATAAATATACAGAAATTAACATCTTCAATGATGAACAACCTCTTATACAATTCAAATTTGTGTTTTAATACCTACTTGAATATCATTATATTGCACTAAAATACTGCTAGTAACATCTAAAGTGAATATTCAATTTGTTTAAATACAAGCTGCACCTTCACAGTGATATACAATAAGTTACTTTAAAATTAGTCCACATTCTTCTGGAAATAACATTAAAAAGTACAAGGAAGAATCTATTATCCCAGCAAACCCACAGAAAAACTTCAATTCATACCACAAACTGGATCGTAGGCACATAAAAAATTCTAATTATTTTGACAGAAACTTAGTTCCAGGAACATACTCGCTGAATATGACAAATTCCCCTCTTCGAACGAAAAGTTGGAAACGTGGTCATGTGTCATTCAAGTAAATATGGTAATTTATTACATTTAATAACATTGGCATTGTGCACACAGAATACAAATGGGCTGTAATGGGTTAAACTCAAACATGACTCTTAGAACTGCGTATCGTCTTCTCCGACGCCTCCACTGCTCCTACTGACAGGGACCTGACCAATCCTGCTGTACTGACAGAACACTTACGATATGATGAGTAGCACTATCTATGGAAGCCAACAAACGACGTAATGTTCCTTCATGGCCCAGACATCATCCGGCATCCAATGGAACATATTTTGAAATACAAGTATCTATTTATCATGAGCTACTTCTGTAAGTACGCTGAGCTATTTCTCTTACTTTTATATTAAGCAGATACATAATATTCAAAATTCAAAATGAATTCGGTCACCAGCAAATCTGAAGTTCACAGATTATGTGACCTGTGAATAAAGAACTAATTCCTAGTCTGCACGGTAGCAGTAATTTCTACGTAACACTTCCGATTCCAAACATAACGTCCTCCTTACCCTACGATACTAACTTTAGATTGAGCCATTATACATTTGAATCTTCACAAATGAATCGAATGCAGTAAATAAATTTGTTCTCACTACTAAACTACATCCTGTAATGAGAATATGGAATGTTTGTCTGGGAGTTGTAGATTTTCGACGCTATTAACTAACAGTGATAATTATACAAGACAAGTAACTGTCGTACAGGATATAGCAGGCAGATGCTGGTTACAGTTATCACAGACTGCTGGCATTCTTGTGTTCTTGCCACTTCACTTTCCAGCTCTACCGATCACCACTTCACCTAATCAGATGATACTAAATGACAACTAAATGATACCAAATGTCAATCATCCTGCTACTGCTCACCAAGATAGAGCTGAATGCGAGCGTGAACCAACAGTGAAATCTTTGTACTGAGAGAACACACATATCTGCAATACAGAACATAAAGGAAATAAGTTTACTAGCGTTTCTGTAATATACAAATCCGCATAATTAACCAACTTCATGCAGCAAAGTCCTTCTTTAGGAACTAATAATAATAATTCAATTAGTCAAAAAATTCCCTGCATTTTATGGAACCTGAAAAGAGCTTGCCACTGGAATTTTTGAGCGTATGTAACAATCGCCAATGAGATGCTCAACACACTGCGTACAATTCAGTTCAAGCCTAAATTATCCATCCTGACTTGGTAACATCTACAAAAATGCATATTTCGAAGTCATTCGTGCTGAATATTTCTGACATGGCCTTCTAGTCAATGACATTACCTTGTCTTTAAGCTGCTGACAAAGCTGCAGAGCTACAGTGAATAGTACCAACACCTCATTGAGCCATGGAACAGAGCATTCTGCCTGATGAGAGTCAAACTTCATGGTACCATGAACACTGCTCAGTTGGTACACTGCAAAGACCAGTTTGTGACTCTGGATGTAGAAGCTGATTGCCAAGTCCTCAGGAAGACTCGGAGCTAAAGATTTCTGAACCAAAAAGCGACAATTTACGTGACACACTACTACCAGTGCGGCGGTAAGCGTACTTCAGTTTGCAAAGAAAATCCTCTACTTTAAAGGAACGTACCATGTTTCGACTTTTCATCAAGTCGTCTATTGTACGTTTCCGAGGCACGATGAGACTGCTACGTCCACGTTGTAAGCAACCCAAAATGCTGCCCAGGACATGCAGTACTTCTTCTGATGACCTAAACATTCAATTTTCACATTCTTTTCTTTTTAAATTAAATGAAAAACAGTTCTTTCTTTCTGTGTGCTCCCTTATTTATCAAATAAATATTTTGTATGATGAATTAATAGGTTTCTCTTTAAGACCGCTGTAGTATGTATTTTTAAACCCCTAAGCTCAATAACATCAACATATCTGGAAGTCAGTCGCAACAGTAACCATTTTTTTCAACCAACAGGCATTTTCACGATGCAATATTTTTTTTAACTCCCAACTTCAATAATATAAATCTTCTCAAATGGAAACTTCGTTCTATTCTATGCAGGATCCAGATCGTTTTAACTCAATTTTGTAAATGTCCAACTTAGGTTTACAGTTAGTTATTGAAACTTTATTTCCAGACCTCGTAAACAATTATAAAAAACTAAATACCGGCACAGATGTAATGAAATCGGATTAATATAAAAATATGAGTAAAGAACTAAATACCGGCACAGATGTGATGAAATCGGATTAATATAAAAATATGAATTTAAAATTAATCTTCAGTCTTCATGCACGAAATGATTAACATTTTTACTGTACCTACCACGGCACCCGCAATACTCACTGGAACATGTAGTCCTTGTCAACATTTTCGATGTGCAGAATAGCTTGCTGCAAATGATTTCCTGCATCTTGCACCTGCTGCAGCTTCCACGGATTATCATTCTGAATCGTTGTACGATGTATCACGTTCTGCTGGCGCTGGACCTTGAAGCTTATGTCCTGCAAACACGTTTCACATAAACATAGCCGTCTTCTGGGTTGTACTGCCACGTAGCCTCGTACAAGTCTACCAACGTTTCAGAGGTCCTTGCTGCCTCCACCATCAGGGCGATGCTTTATTCTGCTTTAACTCATAACAAACTATCTTTCGCTTAAGTTTTGATATTCATCCAAGTTTTTCAAACCCTAAAAACTATTTGAGAATTTAAACTGAAACTTTTGTTCGACTACTACATTGTTTGGTTTCCTGAGGTTTAATTTTTCGCAGCAAACCTTTGGTTTGTCCATTCGCTTGTGAAAACAGCACAGCCGCTAGAATCGCTACATTAATCAGGGGTAGGCTGCTTTGACGGAGATAAATTTCACTAATGGACAACGACTCTTTTATTTTTTAAAAACATTCAGTCCTAGAATTTTGTAATCCACATGCGAGTTGCCTCTGTCATTACTGGCGTTTCCTCGTATTAATTATGCTTTTCATTCTTAAATCTGCAAAATCATTCAAACAAAGTTCCATTTTACATACGGTTACCATAATTTTGGTTTAAAATAAACAAACCGCATGTGTGATGCTGTCCCCCATGAGTGTCACCACACATTTTAGTTGCTCTGGTGGTGCCGTCAACACAAACTTGTCCTGCTTTTGTGGACCGTCATTCCCACATAAGGGAACGGGGAACCGACGAACACATTCCTGCAAACACCGAGATACACGTTATGGAATCCCAGAACGGCTCTAAACTAAAAGCACCACAACAATAACTGAGCTTGTAAAAAAACAGAAGCATTAGTCTGTTTTAAGGCATCACCT